GAGGAAGGAAACCATAAAAATAGAATACTATGATGTAATTAAAAAAAATTCTTTCGATCAAGAAAATCATTTTAGTATTTAAATAAGAGGTAAGATAAGAATATTTATAAAATATTTTCAAGTGCACACTTACACTCTTCATGAACTATGGTCCTATTTATAGAACCTAGTGGTAACTATCTCATTTCATCAGGTCACTCACGATTGAGTTAGGTGTAGGAACTATCCTATAACTTACCTAGATAACTACTATGAATCAATTCTTATACATTGATTTGCGATATGAAATAAATATGCTTTTGAATTGAAAGCGACTTGATGAGGATATCCGCAACTTGTTCATCTGTTCCACAATACTTCATTACTATGGCTCTACTTGCTTTAAGATCCCGGATGAAATGATAGGTGTAGGAACTATCCTATAACTTACCTAGATAACTACTATGAATCAATTCTTATACATTGATTTGCGATATGAAATAAATATGCTTTTGAATTGAAAGCGACTTGATGAGGATAACAGCAACTTGTTCATTTGTTCCACAATACTTCATTACTATGGCTCTACTTGCTTTAAGATCCCGGATGAAATGATAGTGTATCTCTATATGCTTCGTTCTTCCATGAAATATTGGATTCTTCGTCATTACAATTATGGCTTTGTTATCATAAAATATTTTCATTGCTTCTTTTTGTTCTTGATGAAGATCTTTAAGAAGTATTTTAAGCCATATTGCTTGACAAGTTGTTGATGTTGCGGCTACATAATTTGCTTCTGATGTCGATAACGTAGTTGTTATTTTATTTTTTTAACTTCAATATATAACTCCTGATCTGAGGTTGAAAATATTGCCTAAAGTACTCTTTCTATCATCTAAAGCTCCTACCTAATCACTATTAGTGAAACCAAATAATTTATATTTAAAATTATGAGAATATCAAATACCATAATATGTAGTTCTAGCAATATATTATAGAATTCTTTTAACATCTCCGAGATGATGTTTGCTTGGGCTATGCATAAACCTAGATACTACACTAATAGAGAATGTAATATTTGGTCGAATATGAGTTAGATAAAGCAAACATCCAACTAAACTTCTGTAGTATTTTGCATTTATCAAACATGTATCATCTTCAAGTTTTAATTTGTTATTTACATTCATGAGTGTTGCAGCAGCTTTGCAATTAATCATGTTAGATTTTTTGAGTAGATCCATTGTATAATTTTTTTGTAAAATAAAAATTCCATCTGATTCTTGCTTCACTTCCAACTCAAGAAAATAATGAAGTAAACTTAAATATAATATTTTAAATTTATTCATCATATATTTTTTAAATTCTATCACAAAAGAGTTAGATGAACCATATATATAATATCATCAACCTAAAGGTAAACCATTAGCATATTATGTTCATCTTCCTTCTTTAGATAAAGAGTGGGTTCATTATTGCTCCTCTTAAATCTATTTTGATGAAAATAATAATCAATTTTACTGTACCATGCCCTTGGAGTTTGTTTAAGCCCATAAAGAGCTTTCTTTAGCTTATACACCTTTTCTTTATGTCATTTTAACCAAAAAAACCTTCGGGTTGAGTAACAAAAATCTCTTTATGTAAATCTCCATTTAAAAATATAAATTTCACATCAAATTGATAAACAAGCCAATTCAAGTGAGCAGCTAAAGCCAAGAAAGTTTTCACGATTTTGAATCTAGCAACTAGAGAAAAAGTACCATCAAAATCAATACCTTGTTGCTGTAAATATCCTTTTACTACAAGTCGAGTCTTATGGTTTTGGATACTTCCATTTACGTTAAACTTTGTTTTGAACACCCATTTCAATCCAATAGTTTTCTTTTCTTTCGGTAGATCCATTAATTCCCAAGTTTCATTCTTCTCAATTGATTCGATTTTTTTTTTTCATTACTTTTGACAATTCCTCTTTTTCAACTACTTTCTCAAAAGGCATATGATCTAAAATAAATAAAGCAAATGTTGAGTCATAAATTTCTATTAGTAATCTAAATTTTCCTAAGGGGGTTTCATCCGAGGAATTAGAATTTCAACTGCTACTAGGTGAGGTTGACGATGAACTTGTTGGAGCATGATCTTTCAATTGATTCTGTAGAGTATCTAGTGCTGTTGGAATCTAAATTTATGTTCCATCTTTATTGGTCTTCCAATTCCAACTTGCCCTTTCATCAAATATAATATTTTTATTAATAATAACTTTACCACTAATAGGATTATATAATCGATATGCTTTGAATTGTACTAAATAACCAATTAAGATGACTTTTCAGATTTTTCATCAAGCTTGTGATGGTTTTATGAATTTACCAAAGCATAAGCTTGTGATGATTTTTTATCAAGCTTGGTATGGTTTCATACCATACCAAGCCTCAAAAGGTATTTGATTCATAACAACAGCCTTTGTTGGTGAAATATTTAACAAATAAAATGCTATTGTAACTGCTTGTGCCCAAAACTGATTTGGAAGGTTTTTTTCCTTTAAGCAAACTTATTGCCATTTTAATGATAGTTTGATTCTTACGTTCATCTACACTATTTTGCTCTAGTCTATATGATGTTGTCAATTCTCTACGAATACAATTTTCTTTATAAAAAGAATTAAACTCATTAGATAAAAATTCATCACCTCTATCTGTCTGAAGTGTCTGTATGTATCTACTACTTTACCTTTCTACAAGTGCTTTGAATTTTTAAAAATTATCAAATATTTCATATTTTAATTTCAAAAATATATCAAACTCATGCGACTATAATCATCAGTGCTTTACCTTTCTATCTACTACTTTACCTTTCTACAAGTGCTTTGAATTTTTAAAAATTATCAAATGTTTCATATTTTAATTTCAAAAATATATCAAACTCATGCGACTGTATGTATCTACTACTTTACCTTTTTACAAGTGCTTTGAATTTTTAAAAATTATCAAATGTTTCATATTTTAATTTCAAAAATATATCAAACTCATGCGACTATAATCATCAGTAAACAATAGAAAATATTAACTTTCACTAAATAATTTTGTATTCAAAGGTGCACATAAGTCAGTATAAATTAATTCAAAACAATTAGATGCTCTCCATGCTTTTCCAACATGAAATGAGTTTTTATTTTGTTTGCCATAAATACATCAAGTGTATTAATTTTGGATAATCCAAAAACTATTTTTTTTATTTAATAACCTTAAACTCTTAATGTTAAGGTATCCATATCTTAAATACTATAAATTAGACTCATTCTTTTGAGTTATAACAAGAACATACTTTTCAATATTTAAAACATAAACATCTTATTTTATGTCATGTAAATATTTACTATAATTAAACCAAAATTTTTATCTTTAATTATGCATGTACCATCATCAAATATAACTGAATATCTATCATCTATCAATTGGTCAACACTCAACAAGTTATGAGATAAACTAGGAATAAAGAAAATATTATTAAGGTATTTTACCTTCCCTTGATTTGTCTTTACCTTAATTGTTCCTTTTTCTTCCAATTGGATTTACTTATTATCTCCAAGTCTAACTTTCAACTTATGAGTTTCATCAATATATCTAAACATTGATCTTATGCCTGATATATTATTAGAATATCCACTATCCAAAAACCAAATATCATTTGAGATATCATTAACTTGTGAATGAGTCATAAATAACTTATTATTTTCTTTATTTTCCTCCACATAGTTTGCTTATCTTTCTCTTTTCCAGCAATCTGTTTCATGTGACAAACTTTTTACAATAGTGACATTGAATTCCACTCTCATAGTTTTTTTTTTTATCATAATTTGATTGCTTTTGTTAATCATGCCCATCAAAGTGTCATCTTCCTTTTCCTCTACCACGAAATCCTCCTTTGCTATGAAATCCTCCTTTATCACGTTATCTTCCTATTGATTTTTTGTCTTCTTTTGAAGTAGAAGACTCCTCCTTGATCTAAAATGATTTTTTTTTTTTCACTTTTCTCAAGTGACATGTTCAACTTTGCTTTATGTGCTTACAAGGAACCCATTAGTTCATTAAATAAAAATATAGATAAATCTTTTGATTCCTCAGTTACAACAATAACATGATCAAATTTCGGAGTTAAACTTTTTAAAATTTTTACAACAATTATATGATTAGGAAGATGTTCACCATAAGATTTCATTTGACTAACAATTTTAGTCACTAAAGAAAAAAAATCTTACACCGATTCATTGCTTTTAATGAACAAATTTCAAACTCACGATGAAGGGTTTGGAGTTTTACCGTAATCCCTTGATGAGCTTTAAAATTTATTTTGAAGTATCAACAAAGCTTGCTTTGAGGTTGTCGTTGTTGCTATTCTTGAGAAAATTATCTCATGTACAACTTGTTGAATGAAGAATAATGCCTTTTGAGTCCTTTCTATTTTCCCTCAACCCGATTTCTTTATCTCTATCTGCATATCCATTCTCTATTAAGTCCCAAAGATCTTGAGACTTGAATAAAGTCTTTATCTTGATACTCTAAAATTCATAGCATTTGCTCGAGAAGATGAGAATAAGGGGTTGAGGGATGGAATTGCCATTAAAAGTCATAATGTCCGGTTCAGATTGAAACTTAGTTATGATACCACAAATATTAGGGATGGAGGAGCAAGGAAACGATAAAAATAGAATACTAAGATGTAATTAAAAAAAATTATTTCGATCAAGAAAACCGTTATAGTATTTAAATAAGAGGTAAGACAAGAACATTTACAAGATATTCGTAAGTGCATGCTCACACTCTTGGTTTATGAACTATGGTCTTATTTATATGACCCAATGATAACTACCTCACTCCATCATATCACCCATGATTGAGTTAAGTGTAGGAACTATCTTATACTTTTTTTAGATCATGGGCTACTATTTAAAATATACCTATAACTACTTACAACATAATAAATACCTAAATAGCTATTATAAATTAATTGTTAACGTCTTCTATCCAGGCCGGTAGATACGTAGTAAAATTTGCAACCCCATTTCGTCATCCTTTCGAGGCATGGCATGGAAGTGTGCGTCGTAGGCGTTGCTCGTCCGCAGTTTCGCTTTAAGAGCTGACATGGTCTTCGTGCGGCGGCTTGTACATGTACACGTTGCGTCCATTGATGGGCTGAACTGGTCTAGCGTTGTCCTTCTGCGAGAACGAGGGTTGATGGAAGACGATGGTTAGGCAATGCAAGAAACAAAACGCTTCATCTGATGCATGGTAAAAAGATCAAACACCACACGTACATCATGCACGGGAATCCTCAGCGACGCCAGTTGACTCTCCGTTACGCTCTTCACCTAAACAACAACATACGATTCGGAGAATGATCATTCGACTTCCATGAGGAGATGGTAAAGGAGTGGCGGTAGGCACACGCGTACCTCTTTCATCACCGTCCATGTCACAGGCTCACCGCAAGGTGGGGTTGTCAAAGAGCCACCGTACCTGAAGTATGGTTCTCTCTCACCTATAAGAGGTGGGCGGATAGTCCCCACATACACATTGTCCTGTGTCTGGAGAGCTCTTAGGCCCTCCGACAACTGTGCCAAAAGAGACCGAAAGGAGAAAGAGGGAAGGAGTTAGTCCAGCAGCTGACGAGAGAGACATATTCAAGTCAGGCCATTGGTGGGGAATGCGAACCTGGTGCAAGAGGGGATCGGCAAATTGACCAAACTCGTACAACATGCCAATGACTGCTATTTCTCCCTCCGGAGTAGTGTGCACCATGTGCAACTCCAAGGGATACCTGTCGTTAAAACTAGGAGTTGAGCCTGCCGATCGCTGGATCTACAAGTAGCAATAAACTTTGTAGTTCAAACCTTTTGCCATAGAGTTCATGCTCCGACGGTGAGTGCCAGTGGCACTGCCGGAGATGGTATGTCTTCTCGCCGATCATAAGATCTCCTGGCGACTCCGTCCAATTCACCTGACACACATGCAACATCACAGAGAACGTAGGATTCAGTACTGTTAAAGCCAAGACATGAGGGCATGACGTAATCTGTTTCTCGATTACCAGGATCTCATGCCCCTTGTTCTGCAAGAAAGCAGGTCTGGTGTCGTAACCCGTTCTCAAGATCCACAGTGATGGGCTGACGATGATATTGCTTGGTTTAATCGAAATGGGTGATTGTTGTTCTCCAGTTTTGCACGTCTCCCATTCTTCATGAAGGTCTCCCCAGTGTTGAGGTCCGAGCTCGCTACATGGATCGTAGCTGTACTCCCAATCAGCTCCTACCAGTAAAACAATATGACTCAGTCAAAGAGGCCTAAATTTACATGAGACTTAAAGCATGGTCTTAAAAGGCCACTCACCAACACCACTTGCTTCCGTTGCCATGACATGTGATTGGAAGACGACGAGGAGGGCTAGTGAAGCACGCAGCCATTGGAATGGAATTCTGGAGTTCCTCATGCTCGGAGATACAGGAGGAATCGGTGCAGGTTATGTGATTGCAGTGCGCTTCTTCTTATATAGAGATCAAGTGTACATGAACAGATGCTGAAACCCGATGGAAACATGGAAACGTTTACGATGACAGTGGATTAGCCCTCACCATGTTGTCGCCATTTTAGTAGTACTTCGTCCTTTGATGAAGACTTTGTCTTCTCTTCCACAGCTCACGTTTTTCAGATGACAGCGTCCTTACCCTATTAAATGTCAATATTCCTTCTCCGCAATATTGATAACGAAGAGTTTTAGTGACACTTGACAACCAAATCATATCTCATTGTTCTCTTGACAGATTGATCGCATCTTCGGACGTAACGAAGAGAACCTTCACAGATGAGTCGTCTCGATCACTAGCTTTGTCGCATCCATGGAAGAAAACTGGGGGCGGCCAACGTGAAAACGTAAACCATCAATCTGACAAGATTGGGATAAGCTTTATCCGACGTTTTACACCATGAAAATGTGTGGCTTGTGACCAATCTCCTCTCAACTTTGAATGATGCTATGGATAGTAAATGTTGCTGACACAAGTCTGTACTGTGGCTATTGGTAATGGGTGGACCAGAATTTTTCTTATGGATAGCACGCAGCAAATGCTACTAATAGGCCAAATAAATACCCATGTGATTGTGTACCACAAAGTTGCAATCTTGCTTCCTCAAAATACCACTACGATGGCTCAGCCAAAGTGTGAGGATATATATATATATATATATATATATATATATATATATATATATATA